CAAATGTTAAATCTAATCTGATGACTCAATCATTTTCATCATTTTCTTTGAATAAAAGACTCAAATGGATAAGGTTTTCTTTGACTTAGATAAGAACATAATGCCCACTTTTTAGTCAATTAAAACTTGACTAAAAAGAAACACGATGTGGTTGACTATATATATATAAATACAAAAGTTAACAAGGACAGAGGAGTCTGACTAATTTAAAACCTACCTCTACATCGCTGTGAAACTTTAAGCCATCATTATTTTTATAACTAAAAGGCCATTATTTTCAGACGCCTTCACTTTCACACCTTTACCTTCATTTCTGCGAAAAAGCAGCTAATTATCTTTTGAGAGGGGAAACTTTTGGAGAAAATGTGACATTTTGAAAACAAATAAAGCTCCAGTGAAACTTTGAGTAGTTTAGACTCTAGAATAATAAATGGGAGTATTTGCAGAAATGGCTTTTTGCAGATGATTAGGCGTTCAGTGCCAACGCAGCTTTCACACCTTCGTAGTACTGTGACCTGAAGGTAAAGCGACCCAAAGCTGTGAATACAGAATGTACATCTCCCCGTCTGACTGCAAATGTTCAACATTCAGAGGACATAATGCCTCACTGCCATGGCTTCCTTCCAACACCTGCAGCTTCAGACACAGCTTCAAAAGGAAAAGACATTGAAAGCAAAGGCTGGACGTTTGAATGAAGCTTAACATCTTCGACAAAGGCACTTTTCAATCTTATATTACAACAGCCACACAATCCAGAGTTATGAAGAGGAAAGTCACAAGCGAACTGGATTCAACTGAACGACAGCTACTGTAAGACACGTTAACTGGCTTTGACCCGAAAATAAGAGTCAAACCAGACTTAAGCTAGACAGCAGAAGATCAGGTTAAACCTCTCTACCAGAGTTCTTTTCAATTCATCCAGCATGTCACCAGGAAAGAAATAACAAAAGCTTCAGCAGGGGAAATGAAAGAGGCCACACAAGGGAGAAATGCATGGTAGCCGAAGTGCGTTGGGGAGATTAAAGATATGACATGTGGAAATGATGCCAAGTAGAACCTCTTTGTCTTCTTTTCCATAGTAGTCCTCACGGGCCCTACTAAGTTTAAAAATAGAGTTTTTCTAATGGAGAAGAGGGCCGAGGGGAAAGCGAAGAAGAGCGGAAGTGTGCGGAGACTTGAGGAGTCCTCAGTGGTATGAGAATGCAATTTGAGATTGGCCAGAATTGCTTTTTTTTTTTTTCCTCTTCCTTCTCCCCCTTTGGCCGCTCATGAGGCGTGATATGCACCGGCGGGGTCCCTAAGCTGCCATAAGCCTGACGCCAGTACCCTCACCGCGGCCAAGGAGTCGTCGCACTCACAGCGCGAGAAAATCAGCGTGATGAAATAAAAGAGGGACTCCAGATAGATCAGCGGGGATATTGGGAGTGATGGATGAGAGTCAGGCGAAGAGCAGTGGAGGGTGGAGGAGAGGGGAAGGAGTGAAAGGATGAAGGAGATGGTTTTGTGTGGGATTGTGGCGGGATATGGCAGAATATAAATGTGCTTGAGTTGTCCAAGGATGATTCTCACGGTCACTTTGCATTGTGAGAGATGCATTGTTAGGGGCCTTTGTTACTGGTTTGGAGTCCCTCTGAATGAACCTCGAAAGACAAATACAGTCACAGACGCGTTCTAACAAATCTGTCTCGGATGATTACCGAGTTAAACTCTTTCTCTTTCTGCCTTTTCTAGGAGAAGATGGCTCAGCTGAAACGCCGCAGGCGGAAACGTCCACCTGCGATATTTGCCAGTTTGGGGCTGAATGCGATGTGGACGCAGAGGATGTTTGGTGAGTTCAACACAAATGTTTTTTTTTTGTCAAGGTCATGTTGAGACATCTTCTTTAACCTGTTCTATAAAATAAATGCCTCCTTTGTTTGTCATTTGAGACTTTTTAGTGAGTTTGCACACTAAGAATTTAGATGAGAACTCTTCTTTTTCTACTGAAGACATTCGCTGCTGAACACCCACTGAGGTTTAGTGCATGGTTGACCATTTCATTTAACCCCAATTACTAGAGCAGGACACAGAGAGAAAAGAGATTTTCGCTTATTCTGGAAATCCAATTACTATCCTTACAGGACTCGCCAATGTCAGGCCAAAAATGACTTTGACTCACAAGGGGGGAAAACTAGTTCAGCGATGAAATAACGTTTGTCATGAATTTAACCATTTATTGCACATGAAACAGATGCAAGTAATGTTATTGGCTCCCGGGGGGGAAGCGTCCAATTAAATGAAGGCTCAACTGGTGTACTGTTTCCGGACCGTAGCATCAGTGTTTTTTGCCTTGTACAGCATGAATGAAGCTTAAATGAACCAACATTACTGAGTTGTTGTGGAACAAGGATCAGCTGGTATCAGCAAAAGGAAGGCAGCGCTTATAAGAAATCCCAGTTGTACCGCCAGAAATTAGAAGTGCCCTGAGAGTATGACTCTCTCAAACTGCCTGATGTAATGGAAAGATAATGTACCCTAGTGTGCAATAACCGTAATGCCAACGAATGGTTTCATGATGCTTTCTGAGCCTTGTTGCAAATCCCAAACAGCTGGAGTCCACTCCTCTTGATGCCACCCACTTTCACAAATGCGCCTTAGTATTCTCCTTAAACGCAGGAATGGATTTATTGGTAATTCTTTAATCCCCCAAGGTAGAATTCATAAGGTCACAAACAGCGCGATGTACTGTCGATGATGGGTGAACACAAAGCGGAAAACATAAAAGAAAATGGAGCCTCAAGCATGTGCAGCATAAATGGAACAAAGGCAATTACACAATATATACAGAAGAACATTTACTCCAATGGAAAACAATGGATAAGAAAAAAGAGACAGCCAAAGTCAATGATGTGTCTTGTTAAAAAAGCATTTCACAGACGTATGAATATTTCAGCATGCCTTCATGTAAAACGGAAACTACGCTTTAATCCTTCAAAAGCCCCACGGTGTTTTGACAAGAATGTTTCTGGTGAATAATCAGACATGTGATTGCAAACCAACAGCAGGTAATTGTCATCAAACAGCAGCCAACCGCTGGCGTAGCGTAGGATCATTTTGATTAAAATGACAGGTTATTCCAATCAGGCGGCATCTGATTCTTAATCAAACAAAACCGTCACTTAATCAAAGAATGAGTGGAGAGAGATGACTGTAATCAAAAGCAAGGTGACAGTAAAGTGATGTTTCAGACACTCTGAGTGTTTTAGGGTATGTAGAACTAAAGGAAGTCTGATAATCAGACTGAAGTGCCATTTTGTTTTCTCTTCATCATTCAGACTGGCGTTATATCCATGTCAGTCGTGTTCTGTTTGAGAGCAGTTTTACATTTTCCTTAACCAATTAGTTGTGAGTGATATCCCTCCTCCCGATGTTTTTTACAGCCGACGTAGAACCTGTGTCAGAAGAGAAGCTAAAGGGGACCTATCATGCAAAATGCACTTTTGTACGTCTTTTATACATGAATATGTGTCCCCGGTGTGTCAGGGAACTCACCAAGTGTCAGAAAACACAACTTTTCCTCCATACCCAAATCTCTAAAAACGGGGCTGCAACGGAGCTGATTATTGTTTGAATTTTTCTGACGTCAGAAAAGGGGTGCTCCGCCTATATGGGCAACTCTCCACCTATCAGGGGAATGAGAGACCGCTCGAAAGCGCTGGAGACGCTGTAGTACATATGCCAGGCCTGTAAGTGGCGCTGTAGTCTGCCACAAAAGCAGCGAAGAAGACTTCTCACAGAATCAGCCCTTGCAAAAACAGGGCTGGAAAAGAGCAAATGGAGCGAAATGAGGCATGGCTAAAATGCATGATCTTTTTGGTATTTTGAAAAAAAAACTTCACAGACATGTTTTATATAGGTATGGCCCTAAAATATATTTTTCAAATATAGCATGATAGGTCCACTTTAACTTAAATTATGTTATAAAGGAGTTGACATTTTAAGGTCGCATTCACACCTAATAGTCCGCTTCTCTGGTGCGCACCAGACCACAGTTTGTTACATTGTTTCATTTTTCAGAAGGTTCGGTTTGCGTTCACACGCGCAAAACTCAAACGGACTATAAACTTTAAACACAAGTCATGTGCTCGGAAATGCTGTTCAACAATTGGTCAGAGGGGGTAAAAACGCAAATTCCGGCAATTTCTACCGTAGCCTCCGCCATGGAGCACTGGCAGGTTATTTTCATGCTGCTGTTAATCTGGAGATCAACAGACTCTAGCGGCCCGCGCATATGATTATACAATCAGACAACGTGCGATAAAAAACATTATAACACATATAATGAGAGACGTTCTGCTGTAAGGAGGGGCGTTTCACCGACGACAGGTGGCTCTGACTTTTATGCATAGTTAACGGAGCATTTTTACTTTACACGACACTGTTCAACACTTCATTCTGGTTCACTGTTTGGCGAAAGATTTTGAAGACATCCGCTTTCTTGTGACTCGTAAATACTACACTTCCTATGTCTTGGTGCGGACTGCGTTCACACCAGCGAAGATCCGCTCCAGAGTTCACTTGCAAGCGGTCCGAGACCACCTCTTTTAAGCGGACCAGAGTCCGGTTGTTTAGTTCACTTCAGAGGTCTCAGACTGTGTTCACACCGACCCAAACGAACCGCACCAAGTGGTGAAACGCACCAGGGTTCGATTCAACCGGACTAAACAAGGCTGGTGTGAATGCGACATAAGAGTCCTCTTCATCACTTTTTGAGAGAGGAGATACGAAGATAGATTCAATTTAAAACAAGGACCCTTGCAGCTGTATTGATGATTTAAACACGCTGTTTGATAAAAGCACACATTTTCCATTGGCCAATACAAATCTTACAAAAGACAAATGTCTCCTTTTTGTTTGTAGCACTTAAAATGGTTTGGCTTATTTAACGCTGTATTTGATGAACTTAAATGATTCTCACTGTTCTGAGTTTGCGTCCTAATTGATTTCACTTTGTGTGTTGATTTGGATAAAAGTGTCAGCTAAATTAAATGTAATGTTGATTCTGTCAACGCTTTTCAACATTTTAATGGTAATTCTTTTTATCTTTTGGTACAGAAAAACAACCTGTCCCACCTTAAAAGCTTTGATTGACTGATTGAGCACAACATTAACTTTTTCAATTTACTCTAAAATGTGGGCAGCAGCTCAAAGGATTTTTAAAAACCCCATTAAATGAATGCCTTACTTTTCAAAATAAGACACTTGTAACTGCTGGTAGCATGGACAACATTTGATATTGCCGCTAAAAAAAGAAACCATCGCTCTACTCTTCAGTGCAATCATCATTTAAAAAGAATGTTGTAACATGGTCTGTACTTTAACAGCGTAATAATAGAAATCATTCAAGACTTACAATCTGGATATAAATTGGAAGAAAAAAAAAAATGTGCTCAGTGATGTGAAGAAAAGGATGTATGTAGGTTGAACCAATTTTTTGCCCCCCTGCTGTGGCGAAGCGTTGCTATCCTTACATCATCCTTCTGTAGCTGTGTGTACTCAGTTGGACAAAAAAGACCAATTTACCCCTGAAGGATCAATAAAGTGTCGCAAAAAGCCATTTAGATCCATTTGTGGTGTAAAACTGCAATTACCCAGAAAAACCCATGCTTTCAAACCCATCAATAGCACCCATCAGTGTTGATATAATTAAAGCCGGAGAGGAGCAAATAGCGAGACAGTCAAAGAGATGGGCTGTGTGAACGCTGGGTTTACTCCTCCTGAGAAAAAGAGCGGAGGGCCTTTCAAAGCTGGCACCTGTTTCCTTATTAAAGCTCATTCTATGGGGGGCAAAAGGGAATTTCAATAAAAAGCCAGACAGACGACAAGTCACAGGCCAACAGGCGAGTAGGGAGACTGCCTTTATTGTTGTTGAGTTGGGAGAAGCCACACACACACACACACACACACACACACACACACACACACACACACACACACACACACACACACACACACACACACACACACACACACACACACACACTGGAAGCCCTCCTCACATTACTGACATTCACATTGTGAGCCAATGGGCCACTGGGCACATGCACAACACGCTACTGATAAACAAGAAACCAATAAATAATTGTGGTAGTTTAGATTTTTCTTTTAATCCATTTTGCATCTCTTTTGTGGTTGAATAACGTCTTTTTGTGGTCATTTCGTGTTTCCTTTGTGTACGATTTGAATCTCATCACTTATTTAACGTCTCTTTGAAGTTGTGGTTTGATGGTATTTTAGCTTTTTTGATGGTTGTATTTCATCCCTTTGTCATAGTTGTTGTTACTCCTTTCACTTGTGTTGTGTCTCTTGCTGCTTATTCGTCATGTCTTCAGTGTTGTTTTGTCTCTCTTCGGTCAGTTTGCACTCCTTTGTAGTTGTTTTTCTGTCATCTTGCACTCATTTAAGTCTCTTTGAGGTTGTTTTGCATCTCTTTGTAGTCTTATTACATCCCTTTGTGTTTTGATTCATGACTCTTTGCACTCATTTGGCATTCTTTTCGGTTGTTTTGCCTCTCTTTGTAGTTGTTTTGTGTCTCTTTGTAGTCATTTAATTGCATTTCCAACAAGAAATGCTACAGCAACAGTCAATTCAATCAGAGGCCAAGACCCCCTGACCCCTCGGGCCCCTCGGGCCCTAGGGTCCATCCCCGGTAGACAGAACAGTTCTCCTATAATGATTCCTGATATCACAACACCACCAATCACCCCAGCATTATTTCCGTGTGTCCTTCCTTAAATCATGTGAATAAATATATAAATAAATATAATGTACACCCCCTTCTCTAGTTTT